ACTGAAGTTTGGCCTGTGCATTTTCTGTGAAGTTGTGACTTTTAACCTGTGGGTCTTGCATCGAACATTGCAGTATCTTTCCATGCTTCACTCATTTCCTCCCCCCACCCCACCCCACCCCATTTCCCCCACCTGTTCATTGTATTTGCTTTGTGCAGTTCAGGGAATTTAAAGTTACACAAGACTCCATAAGGATTGCTTTGCACAGTGTAACTTGCCCACATGTTGAGTAAGCCTCACTGAGTATATATGAGCCCCATACTCACCTGGGAGGCCCACTGCCAATCCTGTTCCTCTTCCTTGGGGTTGCCAGCTTCATTATCTCTTTTGAGAAAATAGGAACAGGTAGAAAGAACCGTCACCTAAATTGGTTTGTTTGTTTGTTTGTTTGTTTATTAAATTTGTCCCCCGCCCATCTCCCCCCAATGGGGGACTCTGAGCGGCTTACAACACATTAAAACAATAAATAAATATACAGTTAAAACGTATAACAATACACCTTCACAAAAAAGGAAGGGAAAAAATCCAGGAGGCCGGTGGTTCAAGGCAGCAACGCCAGGCCACTAAGGGACTAGCCAACCCCACACTTGATGATTCCCCTCCTTGCCCCAGGCCAGATGGCAGAACCAGATCTTCAGATCCCTCCAAAAGGCCAGGAGTGAGGGGCCAATATCACCTCCAGGGGCAAGATATTCCAAAGGGCGGGGGCTACCGCAGAGAAGGCCCGTCTTCTGGACCCTGCTAGTCGGAGTTCTTTTGCCAAAGTGGTCCGGAGCATGCCCTCGCTGTGTGTTCGGGTGGGACGGGATGAACTCGTAGGGGAGAGGTGGTCCCTCAGGTAACCTGGTCCTATGCCATGTAGGGCTTTAAAGGTGATACACCTTTAATTGGATCCGGAAGCAAACCAGTACCCAACGCAGCTCTCAAAGCAGTGGTGTTATATGGGTCCTTCTTCAGGCCCCAAAAATAGCTCGCGCAGCAGCATTCTGGACCAGCTGAAGCTTCCGGATACTCTTCAAGGGTAGCCCCCTGTAGACCGCACTGCAGGAGTCTATCTGGGAGATAACAAGGGCATGAGTGACTGTTCAAAGGGCATCCTGATCCAGGAAACGGCATAACTGGTGCACGACCCAAAGTTGTGCAAAAGCCCTCCTGGCCAAGGCTGCCACCTGCTCTTTGAGGAGGACCCCCAGATTACGCACTGGGTCTGTCTTGGGCAGTGCTACCCCATCCAGCACCAACGAAGACAAAGTCCCAGA